AAACATAAAAATTACATAAAAAATACATTACAATTTATAAAATAAAGTCTAATTTTCTATTTTTATTTTTAGCAAATCTATCAATGACTTTCTCTATATCTATAGAAATAGATATGTCTCGGTGAATGTGCATAAGAGCGAGACCATTGAGTCTGTCCTCAACCATTCGTGTAGCCAGGTTTTAAGCCGTCGCAATGTCGAGAAAGATCTTTCAGCCGTCGCTACACTGACTGGCAAAGTTGCTAAAATATGAATTATAATTTTTGATTATAATAATGTTTTTTAAATTTTTTTCGTTTTATAAAAAAGTAGGTACTATCCGTAGAAACTTTAAACTTTTACAAAATGCTTAAATTTGAATTTTCTTTACATACATTAATTTTCAAAATATTTCGATCATTTTTAAGCTATTTATAGGAATTTGAAATATTTGGTTTTTAAGTTTTATTTTAAAAAAGTTGATAAAAAAAATTTTGGAGAGYMAAAATATTTAAAAATGTAAGGTACCGTATAAAATGGCTTACAGTAGTTTAAAAACTTTAAAATACATATTATGTACTATATTTTATAGTAATTATTGAAAACATTAATCATAAAAACATTTTTTTTTATCTAATTAATAATCTAAAAATTCTAATGTTATAATCACGCTATACTATAATAAACCGAGATTATAATACAGTAAATACTTATTGAAATCAAATAAAGAGTTTAGAGTAAAGAAATTAATCAAATAATTTTATATGCTAAAATAATTCGTACCATTACAACGTAAATTGCAAGCCGGAGATTAAATTTTTTTCTATGGTAACTATATTGGTCGTCTGGTCGCTTAAAATCGCTGTTGTAAAATGAAGCTACAATCATTAAAACGATATTACTCTGAACTACGAAAAACGTCTGAACACATAGATACATGGAGAATTCTCGGAACAATTCATATCTATACGCCGCCGACGATAAAACACTCACAATAGAAAAAAGGTCAGTTCAGATAGATACTATCGCGGTCGGCCACGGGAAAACCCGAAATAATATAATGATATCATAAACGATATAATCCGTAATA